CACGGGGGGGCCGTCCGCACAGCGACCGCGGCCGTGGGTGCAGGCGAGGCGGGCGGCCCGCGGCGCAGCGCACCCCTGCGCGACCGGGAGTGGGCGGGGCCCAAAGGGCAGGATGCGAGGACCACGGCACCGCAAGAGCAGCGGCTGCTTCGCACCGGGTCCGTCGCCACCTCCTCGGCCAGGGGCTCGAGGGAGGACGGCTCAGCGACCGTCCCATCACCGATTCTCCAGGGGAGGGTGCAGCACCGGAAGCGCCGACCAGCGTGCCATCCAAGCTGCTCGCGACGAAGGCATCCTCCATTGCCTCGGCCACCACTAGGGGGCCACATGCGAACCCTACCCCTACCCCCCACGATTTCTGAGGGGGGTAGGGGTAGGGTTCGCATGTGGCCCCCTAACCACGCTGAGGTTGCCCACCGGCTGCAGATCCGCCGACGCCACGGGGAAGTGGGGAGCGGCCTCCGCACGCCAGGCCGAGCCAGCAGCTGCTGCACCTGCGGCGGCCGGAGCACCCTCAGCAGCGCGAGCCGCTCCAGGGGCCAGGAGGCGCGTGGCCTCGCTGCGCACGCCGCCACGCCGCGGCAACGGAGCCCGCCTTCGGAAGGCGGAACGCACGGCAACCCACGTTGCGCTTGGGGATGTCCACCTGCTCCAGCTTCGTCGTTTGCAGCTGCGCCGTCAGGACGGGCGCTATGAGCGCTGCAGGGTCTTAGCTTTTGCAAATGACGCAGTTGATGAGGCAGCTGAGGTTCTCGCCAAAGAGTTCTGGGTATCCTTCTCAGACGCATGCAGGATTGATATGTCCCAGCCGGTCGGTTTTGATTGTCGTGAGCATCTTGGCGAAGGGCTCCGACATATTTTCGAGACAGCTCCTCGCCGCTGGCCCTCACGTGCGGACTTGAAACGCGGGAGGTGCGTTGAATCAAGGGCTGTCAAGCTCGCTGACACCATGTGGTCAGGGTCTCGCATCAGATGCGCAGACGGCCGAGGTTCATTGCCGAAGAGAGAGCTCGACAGGCTCTTGGGCGCGACCTGCATGTAAGCCCTGCTCCGCCATGTACTTCTCATCCCTGCATGCCCTCAGTCGCTCAATGGGACGAGGGTGCGCGCGTCTCTTGCATGCATAATTCACCGGAAGTTTGGCGCGATGACATATTGCAAGTGCGGGCTTTACATACAGAATAATCTATGAGTTAATTGCACCTTGCCGATGCCGCCCTGCAGTGCGTGGGAGGAATGCGCTTCGAGGAATTAGCGAGAGGTCCAATTCCATCAGAGAAGCCCAACGAGACGAAGACGTTTCAGACATAGGCAACAACGGACCGAGAGCTGGAAACAAACTAGTTTCTGTACTATGGTCGGATGTTTGTCGCGGTGAGCAGCGTTAGCATGGTAATGATGATCGTGGTGATGGTGGTGGTGGTGATGGACGTGGTAATGTTGGCGGTGGTGGTGATGATGGGTGGTGATATTACTGATCATGACGTTGATGATGGTGATGTTGATGATGGTGATGCTGATGATACGGTTGATGGTGGTGATGCTGAAGATGGCGATGACGGTGATCATGATGGTGCCGATGGTGATGCTGCTGCTGATGATGATGATGATGATGATGATGAGGAGGAGGAGGAGGAGGAGGAGGAGGGAGGAGTGATGGAAGGACAGGAAGGACGGGGAAGAATACTCCGACCTGGACGAAGAGGATGCCGATTCGCCACGACGGCGTTGGCAATGAAGGTGAGGACGACTACGAAGAGAGGGTTTTGGAGGAGGAGGATTCGACGAGGAGGAAGACCACGGGAGGGATGGACTGGTAATACTGATACATGGAAATGTTGATGTGAATGATGCGTAAGAGACGAAGCTGCAAAACACGATGACGCCATGAAGGTTTAGGCTGATGTGGGACGCAGGTGATGCTGATGATGTTGATGAAGATGCTGATGCTGATGCTGATCATGTTGTTGATTAGTGATGACAATGTGTATGGTGATGGACCGATGGATGAGGATTATGATGGGGATGGTGTCTTTGTTGTTGCTGATGGTGATGATGGCGACGACGATGATGGTGGTGTGGCAGAGCTGATCACAGTGCGGAGAGGGATGCGGAGAGGGAAAACCAGGACGATGAAGAGAACATTGATTGTGGAAAAGGAAAGATGTGGTGGAGGCGGGGGGGAGGGGGAGGACAGGGAGGCGGTGGTGCAAGAAAGGAGGACGGAGCAGCTCGGATGAAGAGACGGAGGAGGAGGGAGAGGAGGAGGAAGAGGAGGAGGAGGAGGAGAAGGAAGATGAGGAGGAGGAGGAGGAGTACGATGAGCAGAGGAGGAGGAGGAGGAGGAGAAGGAGGAGGAGGAGGAGGAGGAGAAGGAGGAGGAAAAGGAAAGGGAGGAGAAGTTGGATGGGGATTGCGAGGGAGGGGGGGGAAGGAGGAGGACCTAGGAGGGCGATCGAGGAAGACGACCGAAGCGGAGGAGGCGGAGCAGGGGGAGGAGGCGGAGGGCGGTGGAGGCGCTGCAGCAGCAACGGGGGGCGTCCGCGGTGGGGCCACGCCCGAGGCCCAGGAGGAGAGCAGCGGGGTCCTGAAGCAGGAGGGCGCCGCCGCCGAGGAGGCGCCGGAGGCCACTTCGGATGGCACGGCGACGGCGACGGCGACGGCGACGGCGACGGCGACGGCGGCGGGCGGCGGCGGGCGGCGGCGGCGGCGACGACGACGACGACGACGACGATAACCGTCGACAGCGACCGTCGATGACCGCGGCGACGACAGGCGTCGACGACAAGCGTCAACGGTGCGGAGGGGGAAGAGGGAGGAACGGGGAGGGACCAGTAGGGGGTGGGAGGAGTCGGAGTAATGACGGGGGAGAAGGAAGGACGACTGATGATGAGGAGGATGAGGAGGAGGAAGAGGAGGAGGAGGAGGAGGAGGAGGAGGAGGAGGAGGAGAAGGAGGAGGAGGAGGAGGAGGAGGAGGAAGACGAGGAGGAGGGAGGAGGGAGGAGAAGTAGGAGAAGCATGGAGGAGGAGGAGGAGGAGGAGGAGGAGGAGGAGGAGGAGGAGGAGGAGGAGGACGGGGGAAGAGGAATGAGGGTTGAATGAGGAGGAGGCGGATGGAGAGTAGGAAGAGGAAGAGCCAGAGGTTAGGGGAGGATGATGAGTAGGAGGAACAATTATTGTGAGGGAATGTTGGTTGTCATCTCTTATGTCTTGTTGCGCCCGCCAGGCACGACCGACCCAGCGTGAGTACAGAAGTTGAGACGCCTTATCTTGAGAGCAGCCTTATCTTGAGAGCAGCCTGGCTGCCCAATCGCACGAACAGCGCAAACGTCTCGATCGAACGGCGCGGACTCTGTGTTGCGCAGACGGCGCGCGCGAATCGTCCGAACATCGCAGCTTTGTATGCGGGAGGTGGGGGAGGACGAGAGTGGGCGAGGAGCTGTGAAGGAGCACATGGGAGGATGAGGGGGGCGAGGGGGAGGGCGAGCAGGGATACGAGGCAATGGATCCTTCCTCCTGCTCCTCGGTCTCCCCTCCTCCCTCGCCCTTCCGCCCTCCTGCAAGCTGCCAGGTGCTGCCTCGGTGGCCGCCCGATGCAACGCTTCCTGTGCGTGGAGGAGGGAGGAGGGAGGAGGGAGGAGGCAGGAGGCAGGAGGCAGGAGGGAGGAGGGAGGAGGGAGGAGGGAGGAGGGAGGAGGGAGGGGACGCCCCACAGGGCCGCCGCGTCGAGGGCCTTCCACCCCGATCTCCCCCCCCCACTCAGAGCGTCGACCACCATCAGGCATGGCTCACCTGGGCGCCGCTGCAGGAGGGGGGATCAGTGTGCACATCCTGGAGACAAGCTCCGGCCACCATTCAGATTGTGTAGTCTGCCAGTATCCTTCTTCCATTCGTCGTCGTCGTCGTCGCCACCGCCGCCGTCGCCGTCGCCGTCGTCGTCTCGTCCGTCGTCGTCGTCTTTCTCCCTGTCCTCCCTGTCTCCTCCCCTCCACTGTCGTTGTCTTCTCCTTCTCCTCCTCCTCCTCCTCCTCCTCCTCCTCCTCCCCCTCCTCCCTGGCCTCCCTGCCCCCCTCTTCCCCCCTTTCTTCCCTCCCCCCGTCGCCTCCCCTGACCTTCAGGAGTGCTCAAGAATGTCGCCATGGCCTTCGAGCTCAGACTGCAGTAGAGCTGTTAAGCAGCCCTGGCATGTCTAAAGTATGGAGGGCTACTTGCAGCCCTCCAGAAAGTCAGGGCCCCACTCCCCTCGCCGCCTCCCTTGGGTTCTCGGCCCATAACTCGGCTGTCCGGCGGCAGTTCGGGACGACCGGGGCACCCCCAGAACGCCTTCGGCGAGGCGCAACTGCTGGAGATTACCCCCGAGGCTGGGAAGCTGCCGAGAACCCCTCAAAACACCGGGAAACCTCGAACCTCGAGTCCGAAAACATCGAGCCCCTCCCTTTCCTCACGTTGCCCCTTGTCGCCCTCCTCATGCCCCCTACGGTCAGGAACTTTGGATTCGCTTGTCGATCTGGCGGTTCTAGCCCACCACGCTTCGGCGCGACACGTTATCCACGTGCCGGTGCCCAGACGTCAACGTCCTGTCTTTTTCCCAGCCACCTGAGCAACACGGGGTCGGGACCTGGAGCAATACGTGGTCCGGGCTGTAGTTCTGAGGTAGGTGCCGCCTTGTTGGTCTGGGCAAGCCGGACGAAGTGCTCTTGGCTTTCTGGGCGGCTGGAGGCCGGGGTGCTCGGCGCGAGCGTGCAGATGCCCCCTTCCCCCTCTTTCTCCCGCTCTCTGTCCTTTTTCTCCTTTCTCCTCTTGCCCCGTTGTTCGTTTGTTTGCATGCGGGGTGCTTCGCAGGGCTTTTCTTTGCATGTGAGTTCGGCCCTCCCACGGCCGGGGTCAGTCGACCCCAGGCCTTGGCTTTCCGCCGCCCCAGGAGTGTCGGTCAATCGTGGGCGCTGCGGTGCCTCCTATCGCCAACCATCTGTCAATCCAGTACTTGTTCGCGAAGGCCTCTACCGTTCTGGACGCGGGTCCTGCATGTCTTGCTTTATATGGTGTCTGCACATGGAGCCTGCTGGCTGTGAGTGTGCTTATTTCCCTCCACCGCTGTCTCTCTCTCTCTCTTGTTCTTCCTTCCCCCCCCTCCTCTGCTGATTTCCCCGCTGTGACGTATTCGGAGTTGGGGTATATTCCTACCAGTTGTCACGCACTGCGCCGTGGTTCCCTGATCCCTGATTGCTTTTGTGTGATGTCCACTTATATAAACGACCAGTCAGATCATAAGGGGATGTCTGCACAAGGCTTTAACACATCTGCATTGGCACAGTGGTTACGCGGTTCCTCCTCCTCCTCCTCCACCTCCTCCTCCTCCTCTCTTGTTTGCTTCCCTTGCTCTTCCCCATCCTCCCTCCTGTGTGTGACGATGTTCAGACGCCGCGTGCAGTTGACGTCCAAGCTGATGATGTGCCGCGACAGTACTTTGGGGTCGCTGTTTGGGTCTGGGCTCTACAAGGCTGCATAGTGCAGCATCGGCCTTCATCCGTTTCGATTTGGGTTGCGGACCTGCTTCGCGGTCTCTTTCGCTTGGCTCGTGATGCACACCGCACGCGCCCGAGCTACAGGGCCAGCGCCGAACCATGGTGATGTGTGCGATGGAAAGATCCTTTTCCCAGCCTCCTGGCCCGCGGATCGGAGCGACCGCGCAATCCGCTCGCATGGCATAGCGTGTCGCCGGGGCCCGCCGCCGCGACACGCCAGGCAACAGTTCCCGATGGCAGCCCGGCCCCCTCCCCGCAGGCCCGCGACGACGACGAGGAGGCTGAGGCGCCCGCCGTCGAGCAGGGCGGCGTCGCCGCCGAGGTGGAGGACGGCGCCGGCGCGGCCGAGGCGGTCGGAGGGGGGCCACTGGTGCAGGCCTCCCAGATGGGGTCGGAGCAGATGGGGTCGGACGATCTTCTTCGTTGCCCTCGTCCCCGCCTAGCGGGACAGTTCCTGGATGGCGGATCCCTTCCCATCAGTTCGGAAGCTGGCAGTTTATTTTCATCCGAGCTGCACCTCGTTGCCTCTCATAGCCCTCAGCAACAAAAAACAGATGGGGTCGGACGATCGCGCCGCATCGCCGCTTCATCGGCGATGGCATCGGCGATGCGGCTCGATGTGGGGCTCAGTTTTCTCCGCGCCGACGTCGCCGATGCAGCGCCGAGACGTCGGCGATGCGGTGCCCTCTTCCGACCCCGCTGGCTCGGCTTCCACCAGGAGGCCTCTCATCGGATGCCCCGTGTTTCTGGTCGTCCCCGACGAGATCGGGCCGCGAGTGAGCCTGATGGTCGCGTTCGTCCCCCCGCGTGGACACTCCTGCGGGCACCGCCACCGCCACCGTCAGCGTCACCGTCGCCGACGAGATCGGTCGCTGCCGATTTTGCTTCAGATTTCGGCATCGGTCGCGGCCGATCTGCTTTCAGCTCGGTCGCGGCCGATCGGTCGCGGCCGATTCTGGAATCTCGGTCGCGAGCGGCCGCGAGCGATTTGGCTTTGGAGTGCCGATCGGTCGCTACCGATCGCGACCGAACAAGTCTGGCATCCAGGGGAGCCGGGGAGGCGGGGAGGCCCAAAGGAAGGTCGGAGGAGGCAGATAGCCCTCCGACGTCTCTGGGCAGAAGCCGGGGCGGATGCTTTTCGCAGTCTTCGGCCTCCTGGGCGCCGGGGCCGTACAGTCCACCCGCACAGGAAGGAGGAGAGCAACTTTCCGAGGCGGGGAGGCCGAAGGAGGTCGGAGGAGGAAAATAGGCCCCTCCAACCAGAACCTATATTTCCGCTGGGCCCGGCGCAGCGTGCTTGAGCAGGTGGCCTCTGGGGTAGCACGCGGTAGAGCACGCCAGGGAGGTACCCGAGACAATGCATCAACACCGCTCGCAGCAATTGTGACACCAGCTTTGCCAGCGGATGCTTTGTGCAGCCTTCGGCCTCCCAGCGCCGGGGCCGTAGCAACAGCGACGCAGGGATGAGACACAGGCCATTGGGACAGGGTCACTAGGGCGTCGGAGGGCGGAGAAGGAACCGATACGGTCGGACCGAGATACAAGATCGAGGTCGGTTCGGGGAGGGGTCCCTGATGTTCTTCGTGTTTGTTGGATGTAGTTGCGCATCCTGGGTGAAGGTACCCTCGAGTGATCTTCTGGTTTGGGGTGTTTTGGCCGGCGGAGGGTCTCGTGTTCTTGAAGGGTGATCTTCTATCCTATGTCCGGCCGTACCCGCCGATCTCCGACGATCTGTTTTTTTCAATCCCAGGTCTTTGGATGCCAGGCTGTTCTCGTCGCGGCCGACGAGATCGGTCGCTGCCGATTCTGCTTCAGATTATGATGTCGGCCGTGACCGAACTGCTTCAAGATCGGTCGCGGCCCGTCGGTCGCGACCGATCCGTCGCCATCGGTTTCGAGCGGTCGCGACCGAATTTGGAATCGGTCGCGATCGGTCGCGACCGAGTTGTAGTGATCGGTCGCTACCGGTCGCGACCGAAAAGGACTGGTATCCAATGATCAGGGATGGGGTCGTTTTTTTGATTTCTGCATATCGGGCCCCGGGACCATTAAGTATGGATCCTGGACGAAGGACTACCCTTGGGGATGGGGTCGGGACTTCTGGGGACGCGAGTTGAACACCTCACACCGTCGGATGTCGCGGTGCCGCTGCCCTTCCCTCGTGTTCGCCTTTGGGACCTCCTGGGAGGCCCTCGTCATCACGGCCGGATTCGCCTCGAAATTCTCAGAGCGCGTCCCAGGAGAGGCCCGGTGGATGTCAGGAAGGATCGGCCGCACGAAAGGGTCGGATAGGGAAAGGGGGGTTTGCGAAATCTGCTTCATGCAGCTGGTTTCCGCCCCACCGCTGGGTCCATTCCTCGATATATGGGCGCCTCCCGGCGCCAGGAGGCGCCAGACCAGCTACGAGAGCTGATTCTCTACCCTACCCCTTGCTTTTCTACTCTTGCTTTTCCACTCTTTGCCTTTCCACCCTTGCGTTTCCACCCTTGATTCTGTAATCTACCCCTTGCTTTCCTACCCTCTCGCCCCCTCAGAAGAGGGGGGTGCGGACCCAGAACCCCGTCGCGTCGTGGCGACAGCAATTACCACGGGAGTTTCTTAGGTTTTTTTGCTAAAAAGCCAGTGTCGGCCTCTGGCGGCCCTCGCTATGGGCCCGGCGGCCCCGGATGGAGTGCTGGTCCTGGGGAGCCTAGACCCCCGGACGTCGGGATGGTTCTCAGCGTGGACCCTCGGAGGTCTCGGCCCATTCCCCTGGACCAATCGCCCACAACGATCCCCCTCGGGGCCTTTCTTGTCCCCCCCCCCCCTCCCCCCACTTTTCCCACCTTTCCCCGCCCCTGCCTCCAACTCCCCTCTCCCCCTCCCTCCCTACCTCCCGCCCTTCCTCGCTCTCGCCCTTCCTCCCCCTCCGCCCCCATTCCTCAATGTGGACCCATTTCGCAATGTGGACCCGCGGTTTCCTGCAATCGCCCACGAGTTCCCGTCGTGATCATTTCGCGACGCGAAGGGGTCTGTGAATGGGTCGTGACCTCCCGGGGCCACGCCGTGAACCAAATGGGGTCCGGGGATGTAGCTCGGCTCTGCGGCGAGCGCTCGGCACGATCAGGGCACCCGCGGAGCGCCCTCGGCGAGGCGCTGGCTGCTGGAGGCCATCCCAGGGGGTGAGACGCTGCTGAGAACCGAGGAAACACAGGAGAATCTCGAACCTTGAGTCCGTAAACCTGGAGCCCCTCCCTTCCTCACGTTGCCCCCTGGTATCGTTTAGCCGACCCCTATCTCCGTCCCCATGCCCATCCAGATCCGCACCATCCCACCACCCCAGTTGGGGATATACCCCTCGAAACCCGAAGGAAACGGCCTATGTCCTCATCTAGGGGGGGGGAATCGGCCAGTGGGCCCAGGCCACGCTCATGGGGATATAGGGTCGGTTAAGCGATGCTCAGTGCAGAAGCATTTGGGAGGACTCCCGGTCAGGAGATCTACCGTTCGGCACAGCTTTAGCTCAGAGCTTGGGCCCACGCCATGCGCTCCGATCCTGTCCTCGCGCCTCGTGCGTCGCGGCCTGGGCCAAATAGCTGCCCTTCTCAAAAGTGGCCTCGCGAGGGTGCTATACACGGGTCGGTTCAGCGGTGCTCACTGTCGCCACCGTCACCGCAGTGGCCGCCACCGTCGCCGTCGACCGTGGCCGCCGCGGCCGCCCGTCGTCGGTGCCGTGGCCGCCGCAGCGGGTCGCCGCCGCCGCCTCTGGCCGTCGCGGCCGTGGGCGTCCCGCCGCACCGGCCGTACTCCGCCCCGGAGATCCCCCCCGCCCAAGAGGATCGCCATGGGGGATGCGGGTCCTGAGGGAAACGGGACCCGAGGTTTTTCGCAGTTTTCGGGCTCTCGAGGCCCTCTTTGGGCTCCGGGGCTGTCAGAAAACCATTCAGCTTGAAAAATTCGTCCTGGGGGAAGGCCCCGGGGTGCGGGACCCGTTTCTCTTAGGAGCCGTTCCCCCCCCATGCTAAAGAGGACCGGGCACCTCCGAAATCGATGTTCGGCCTCTATGCCGAAGCTTTGTCATCTCCTCCAGCGTGGAGGTTCGACCTCCGATGAGGCGGACCCAGCCGTGGCCACGAGGGCGCCCCAGGAGGATCAAAAACCTCCAGAGCGAACCTCGCACCTCGAGCCAACATCAGAAAAATAACACTCCAATCATACAACACCCATATGATCAGGAAGGAAAAGCACACAGACACAATTCATCGTCGATTCCCGGGCAAGTATGCGAAACTATGTGAAGCGGGGGGGAAGACAGAAACCCAGAACATAGGTGAACATATGGGGAATCCTTGGATGTGTGTCCATCTACTTGTGTGTCCCAGGGCCCTTTCAATCACAGAAACAGCACGCAAATCATACCGCAACCATGTGAGCCCGCCGCCGCCGCCGAGGACGCGGGCGCCGCCGCCGCCGAGGCGGCGCCGCCGGAGGCGCCCGCCGAGGCCGGGGAGGGCGCGGCCGCGCTGCAGCGCTGCGCGGCCGGCGCGAGGCGCAGGCTGGCGCGCAAGACGTCGCTGGAGGAGCCCTCGGCGGCGCCGGCGGGCGCGGGCGCGGCCACTGCATCCAAGACGGCCCCAGAGGCACCTAAGCCGGTCGAGGATGCCCCAAGAGGGCCCCAAGACGGCCCACGAGGGCGCCAAGACGGCCCACGAGGCGCCCAAACCGCCCAAGAACGCCTCAAGGCGGCGCCCAAGACGGGGACGTGGCTCCGGAAATTCGGGCCTTTTGGCCCAAGAGGCTAGCGGCATGCCGGGTGCGGGCGGCCGAGCGGGTGGAACGCGAAGAGGGCGGCCGCGGAGGAGGAGGCGGAGGTCGGGCCCAGCCCTGCGAGAGTCGGCGGGTGAGCAGCGCGCCGGCGGCCTCAGGCACCGAAGACGGTGCCGAGCAAGAGGTGGAACAGCAGGAGGGGCAGGCCGTCGAGTGGGTCGTTTTGGGGCTCTCTTGGGCCCCTCTTGGGCCATCTCGGGGCAGTCTTGGGGGCCTCTTGGCCTGTCTTGGAGCGTCGGGAAGCTGACACGGCGAGAATGCCAAACTCTTTCCAAAAGCTAAAGGAAGTCGATGATTTGTGTTCCTTGGTGCCCTCTTTGAAGGGTCCTCTGGGAGGCCTCCTGGGACGTTTTGGAAACCTTTTGAGCCGTCTGGAGGCTACTTTGGCGACTTTGACCGATACTTCGCTGATTCGGGGCCCTCGAGGACCGTCTTAGGGACATCTTGGGGTATTTGTGCCGCGTCTTGGGGCTTTTCTGGGCCCCCGAACCGCCCGGGGGGGAGTCGTATCTGACCCGGGACTTCCCCGGGACT